GCACCTTAGAGACTAACAAATTTATTAGAGCATAAGCTTTCGTGGACTACAGCCCACTTCTTCGGATGCATATCACTTGACTCACCCACCAATAAGAGAAGGCTGGGTGCATGGTATCCAGACTAAGGGATATTTCAGTGGGAATTGGGCTGGGCCCATGACACTGTACAATTGCACTTCCTCGGGGTTTGGCATGGAGGGGAAAGGAGCTAGTTAGCTATTAAAGAGCCCTTGCTCCATTTCTCATCTTCCGGAGTTCACCCCTGTTATTTCTGCTGACTTCACCAAAACTCTGTTGCCCAGATCTTCAAAGGTATTGGGTGCCTAACTCTTATTGATTTCAATAGGAGTTACACAACTAAATACTGATTCCAATCCGGATTGCTTGGTAAACTGTGTGCAAGCAAAAAAATCTGTGTTTTAACACGTATACATTTACATTTAGCTATTTGGGAACAAAGACTGTAGGCTGCACTTACAGGATGGGGGACTCTATCCTGGGAAGCAGTGATTCTGAAAAAGATTTGGGGGTGGTGATGTAGAATCAGCGGAATATGAGCTCCCACTGTGACACTGTGGCCAAAAGAGCTAATGCAATCCTGGGCTACAGAAACAGGGGAACCTCAGGTAGGAGTAAAGAGGTTATTTTACCTCTGTATTTGGCACTGGCTCAACTGCTGCTGGAATCCTGTGCCCAGTTCTGGTGCCCAAAATTCAAAAAGGATGTTGGTAAATTGCAGAAGGTTCAGAGAAGAGCCATGAGAATGATTAAAGGGTTAGAAAACCTGCCTTATAGTGATAGACTCAAGAAGCTCAAGCTACTTAGCTTAAGAAAGACTAAGTCGGGGTGACTTGATTATAGTCTATAAGTACCTACATGGGGAACAAATATTTAATAATGGGCTTTTCAGTCCAGAAGAGAAAAAGTACAACAGGATCCAGTGGCTGGAAGTTGAAGCTAGATAAATTCACACTGGAAATAAGATGTACTTTTAGCGGGGACAGTAATTAATAATTGAAACAATTTATGAAGGGTCGTGGGGGATTTTTCATCACTGACAATTTTAAATCAAGATTGGATATTTTTCTCTAGGCATTATTCTGGGGAAGTTCTATCGCCTGTGTTATACAGGAGGTCAGGCTAGATGATCACAATGGTTCCTTCTGACCCTGGATTCTGTGAGTACCTTCGAGGATTTTGGGCCCATGCTCTTTTTCCTAATGCCGGAGACCATCTTCATGCTGCCTCTGTACCGTAGGCCTCACATAAAAACACATTGCTTTAGGGAGGCTTATAAACCATCGTAATATACCCTATGTAATAAACAGGCGTGACTGACAGGTGCACTGCTTGCCCAAGCATCCACATAACCTCACCCTTGGTCCTCCCCTCCCTTAAACTCTTCCTGCATTTGCTACCTGCACCTTCTGTATTTGTCTTGGTTTCGATGGCACATTTGTTAGGACAGGGACTCTGGGTGCATAAATACCTTTAACAAGCTGGCGCTCTGCCTTTATTTGATTTGTAAAGTGCTACTTGCGGTGTTATAAAAACACCATAATTGGTTTTATCCTGTACACATTTCAGTGTTTGGCACTTGACTTTTATAAAGTGTGTGGCGCTGCATGCACAAAATAAAGCACAATTATACAGCTGATTTTCATGAGCAAATGCCTGTTTACCACATGGAGAGGCAGTAAATGTGTGTGCAAATTAGGCACACCTCTGTTTTATAAACTCAGGTCCAAAGAACATTTAGTGTATCGAATTCTGCATGTTTAAACATTTTTAAAGCTCGAAAAATGCCGAACTATACAACATCTGCCCTGACGTGAAATGAAGCAACCCTGCAAACACAGTCATTTCCCCCTCGCTAGCATATTTTTTTACCGATTCCTGTTCTGCTCTGGCGTGTTGGCAAAGTAGCTGGACACATTGTGGGACACTTTGTTTCCAGTTTGCATTTTGCAGTATCCCGTGGGCCCGTACATGTTTTAGCGAATGTAAAAAATTAGTACAAATCTTTGGAGGAAACAATGATGCATTGCATTTCCTCTGCCCTGATTTCTGGAAGTGTAACAGTCGCTGCCATGTTATCAAAGACTTCTCTTGGGGAAGGGGGTTATTAGAAAACAGGAGGAGAGGGGAGGAACTCTGAACTTGAGCAAACCAGTTTTTGCCAATGCTAAGCAACGTTCCTCATGTCTTAGTATCAGGACACATTGCCAAGACGGCAGTAAGAACAGAATGGCACTCCCTATCTTTAAATCACAGTAAGGTAATGGTGCAGCCAGATCTGTTAGTTTCAGTGTCCAATTTTGAACCGTAATAAGCTGTTGACAATAAAAGAAAATGAAAAGAATTGTGTGTTTGAACTGAGCTGGTGTGAGAAGCTATATCCAGTACAAATATATTGTTAATGACGCAGTTATGCCTGGGAACGGATCTCAGGAAAAGAGATGTTTGATTTGCTTTCTCTCTCATACCCAATGTGTTGTAGTCACAAAGAAGTTGTGCTTGTCTCTCCACCCTGTATACATACAAGTGCTTGCAGTCGTAGGCTCACAGTGGTACAAAGACAGACCATGTATTGAAACCCACACTTTCCTTCTACACCCGAGTGTGAGTTCCTACCAAGGAACAAGCGCAGAGTTCAGTCCTGCCCTAAATGAAGCATTACAGCTGTTGCTTCAGTACAGTGGGTATTGAATTTCACAGGCTGTGTCATCTGCGACTGCACTCTTTGGCTTGGGGTATGGCAACAAGCCTCACCGGGGCTCAGCCACTCCCTTTCTGACTGTAGAGAAACGCCCCAGTCTACATAGAAGGAAAATTGTTTTGCTGGATTTCTGCACTGCCCTTATTCCAAATGCAATAGAGAGTGAGAAAGAGCGAGAGCTTGGGGGGGCAGGCTCTGGATTGGTGTTCTGGGCTATTTCAACTTCAGGGCAACTTTTGAGAACTTCAGTTATTTTTGGTAAGTTTGTTTAAACATCCCTCTCTCTTTCTATGATGCAGTTTGCTCACATTTGCAATAAATGGAGGGGATCTTAAATTAGAATTGTAGCTGTGTGTGTGCTTTGATATAATGACTGTCATAAAGGTGCCATGCTACCAGCTACGCACTCGATCAGTGAAACATACACAGACATGCACATATACCGACCATCGGAAATCTGATGATGCTGAGGGAGGAAAATAGCTGAGACTTAAAATAAGGTGCACCCAAATATAACACATGTGGCTGCATGTAGAGTTAAGTGCTTCCACATCTCATTTGTCTAGTTCTTGCATTTGGAGAAGCAGTGTTACAAATTAGCAAGCAAGTTCACAGCAGGATTGAGAATCTTCTGATCTCATTCGCAGTCACACACATAGATATCAAAAGCTTTCAGTGCACAATCAGCTTCGAGTCCTGCACACATCTTAAGATTCAACAACTTGTCTATTTCAGTCACATATCTTTCCCTCCTCCCCACTCTATATACTTTATGGTGAAACCCCTCATAGTGACCTAGGACATAGTGAAACTGTTTATACTAAGTTAAAATCCTACTCCCAAATTGTTTCAATGCACCACAATGTGCAATTTGCTTGCAAGTGAAGTTGTCTTATCATGAAGATGATTCTTCTACATGTGGTTTCCACTGTATGCGCACAGTTGTATTTTACAGTAGATAATAGGCTCCCGCAAGAGGGATACTGTATATATGTGTACTATATATAATAAATACCATATACAATATATAGAGAGTCATAATATATGTGCATGGCACTAAGCACCCTATATATTGGTAGTATGTGAGGCTAGAATCAACCTCAAAGATTTTAAAGACAGAGATGCACAACCTTGCTGGTGCAAATGGGATCTCAGATATCTTTCCTATGGGAGATTGCTCCAGCAAAACCTGCTAATCAAACCTGGCTAAGATCTGTTTGTCTACCTATCTAGGTTCTTATATAATCCCATCAACACAGTTACTGTGCACCTTAGAGATCTTTGATCAGATTAACATAATGCTAAATTCAATGCCAGGGGATTTGAAGTGGGGCAGCATTGCATTTGTAGCTACCCAGAGAAAGATCTGGCAGTTTTAAAGTCTTTGATAGAAAAGAGAAAACATTATTCAAATTAGAAAACACCAAACAGATGGGACTGTGCCACAGAAGTAACAGTTGTTCTCTATGATTTGTGACACAAGACACTCTGAAGATTTAATTCTACTCCATATAATTATCATGATTGGTGTCATGAGAACGGTAATTGTTGTTTTTCTTGTACAGGTTGTTATACTAAAGAATAACTGTATATAAATTATTCACAGCCCTAAAGAGAGTTTCCTCCCAAAACTTTATGCTAATGTACTCGTATATACAGTGTTTTAGGAGTTTAATCAGCACCATAAAATGCATCATGCCTGAGGACTTTTTATTGGGCTGCAGATTTTTTTTTCTTTTTAAACTGACAAGTGGGATTGAAACATTTATTTGCAATAACCTTAAAAGTTAAACTATAAAACAGCACTAGTCCTGCTACAGTGTTAATACATTCTATGCTGGCTTTAGCTTCTCTGTTGGATAATGTAGATTTTTAGCTGAAGTAGCATCAACACAGTTTCTTTGATCTCGTCATTTTACTATTTTTGGTGTGGCACTCTCGTAAAGTACACTCAACTATTAGGTTGCATGGTTTGTATAAATCTTATTAAAGTAAAGTCAGTTTGACTGTATACTCTGCACTTAAAAGTAATTCACTGAAGATGGCTAAATTCCAGTCTACTGTACAGCTGTGTTTAGTATGAAAGATGGCAAGGTCTTTAAACCAGAAGGGGTGTCTGTACGGTTTGTTAGTGATAATTCTCCAGGGGGTTGGAGACAGTGAATATTTTAGGTTATTAATCATCTTGGGAGATCAATCTGAATTCCCCAAAATGAGGTCAACATGCCTTTATTCACTTTTGGCTGGACAAGGAGCTCAACACTGCAAGGAAATCCAGGCGTCTGTCTATAATATACCACCAGTGCTTCACTCTGTAAGAGGTGCCATTGTTTATAAAGGCACGATATTGCTTAATGTAAATAAGGGTGGCAGAACCTGGCCTTTAATGATTTATTCCAAGAAGTATGCCGCTCTTTGCAAAGGAATAAGAATTTATGCTTCTTGGTTTGAGTCTTTAAAGAATCACCAAAGCTCTTGTTCTTGAATGTACTGACTTTGAAAAAAAGGGTCTCTGTTGTACTGTAGAACCAGAAAAACACTAGGGAGTTGAAATAATAACCAGTCAGGGAAGAAATGGGGGCGTTTTAAAGGTGGGAAAGTAACCTACAGTGGATCATATAGAGGTAGCCATTTCTGTGTGCTATAAAATCAGACCAGGATATATAGCCAGCAAAACGCGCTTTGGAAAAGTCAGGACTGTCACCCTCAGGAACAACAACCTACCATGCTGCTGCTGGGTCTAAGGCTGCAGGTTCAGCCGTACACGACTGGGTCATTTCAAGAATGGCTCCATATTGCTGCAACCTTCCACCGAGAAATCTCCTAGCCACAAGCATGAATAGCTCTGCCTGAAGGTGGGGGACCCGACATTCCGTACAAGCGGGGGTAGCTCCATAGCTCAGGCAGGACCAACCTCTGCCGAAGGCAGTAAAACTCGAGCTCCCACGCTTTGCTTCCTCTCTGGGTCCTAGTGCCAGCTCTCCTTCCCTATCCAGGCCACCCAACAACAGCAGCCCATCCCACTCCCTGTAGCTCCCAGTGCCTGCAGCATTCCCTTTCCCTCCAGAAAAGGCCCTAGTCCTGAGGGGCTAGCTAGAACCTAGCTCTCTCTGCCTGCTCTGAGGCTAGGTCAGATGGGGATTAGATCAGCCTGGAGGCCCAGCAGGTTGGAAGGGGTCAGGAGGATGCTTCAGCTCCATCTTTGGGACAAGTGAGGAGAGGGACCCCTCCTGTGAATGGCAGCAGTGCCTGGCCCCTGCACAGGAAGAGTAAAGGTGTGAGAGGGGAGGGCACCTAAGACCACTCAATAGCCAGGCACACTTCATCCTCCAGATATTGTAAGGCAGGGCTTTACTGCCTCGCATGGTGGAAACAAGGGAAAGGACGGGGCGCTCCATGTGCTACAGCCTTCTTAATCACCTTCCTATTTCAAAAAAGGGTACGTCTCCGTTGGAGCTGGGAGGGGCAGGGCCCAGCTCACCTGGACGTACCTGAACTAGCTGTGCTCAAGCTAGCACCTAAAAATAGCATGTCTGTGGCAGCTCGGGTGGCTGCTCAGGCCAGCCAGCGAAGTACATACCCTGTGGGTAAGGTGGGATTGGATTGGGGACGGCTAGCCCGTGCAGCTGCCGTGGCCGCACTATTTTTCTGTGCTAGCTTGGGTATGTCTACGTGAGCTGGGGATCACCCATCAAGCAGTGACTCAGGGGTCATTCACAATCTGATCCACCGCGGTGGGGCAAAGAGGGAAAACAATGGCTTTAATGGTGGCTGAAAATAATCCAGACTGGTTAATATGCAGAAGCAATAAAGGATGTAACTGGTGCAGGGCCTTATCTTGCTCCCAATGGCGAAACTCCCATTGACGATTAGCAGAACAAGTTCAGGCCCACGGTGACAGCGCATGATCGCAAGCCAAACTTAAGAGAGCAGAAACACAAACACATGACACAAAGGGATGGGCTTCATCTGCCAAGTAAAGACTCCTCGGTCTCTGTAGAAAGTTACTTTTTTGCCCAACTGCAAATAAAAGTAATCAGATTAATATCATTGCCAAGCCAGCTGAAAAACACTCACCATTAGAAAACGGTCTAAGAGGATCGTAAATATCCAGTCTGCTGTCCACACAGCAGAATGAATACGCCCTCCACTTAACTTGGGTAGCACTAGGCTGTAACTTTAGTATACAAACAACGTAACTGTCATCACTGCAGCTATCTGATTTTAAAGTACGGCTTTACCTAGTTTCTGCCTTCATCCTTGCGCCTCATGCGGAGAGCTAAGGACCCTCCTGTTGAGAGGTGAATCCTCCAAGGTGCCTGCTGATTGTGGTTCTAGTTTGGCTTCCCTCTACTCCAAAGTTAGGGATCAATCTGCTAAACTTTTTTCTCTCCTTGTTCAGTACCAGAAGCCAGGCAATCTGGCCACCTCCCCCTACCTAAATTAGCTTAATGAAGTAATGACAGTTTCCATGGCCATCAGCATTACCTGCTGTACCAGAGCACCTTGCAAGCTGCAGTCACAATTCGAGAAATCTGACGTATTCAACTAGTCCAGCCACCCATTTTCCCGTCCACTCCCTACCCCTGTGGTTCTGCCCTAGTCCTGGAAGGGCAGCCTCATTCAGCTTCTCCTTAAGAATCGGGGTCCCAGGACCCCTCGTATGCTCTCTTTCCAACTGTCATAGACTCATAGAATATCAGGGTTGGAAGGGACCTCAGGAGGTCATCTAGTCCAACCCCCTGCTCAAAGCAACTAAATCCCCTGCTCCCAAACCTTTCACCCTAAGCCAGTGCTGATCTAAAATTCTTTACCATTCCACCAGTGCCCAGATGCCCAGTCTTTCCTTGCCCCTGCCATGTCTGGAGCTCATGCTGCTCCAGCCATCCAGCCCCACCCAATTATTTGGAGGGCTGTGGTGAAGAATATGAGTCTTAGACTAAAGCGAATACTCAAAGTACATGTGCAAGAACTGAAATCCTGTGGGGACTGTGATATTCCTTTACCTGCGTTGTGAGGACTATTTAATTAATAGCTGTACAGCATTCTGAAGATGAAAAGTGAATTATAAGTAGTAGTTAATCATTTTTAAGTATTGCTTCTATCCAACAAACGTGGTTAAAACTAGTTGAAAGTGAACCTCAAAAAGGTTTTCAGTGTCCATTTAGTTCAGATAAGCACCCAAACATCTTTTTATGTGAAATGTACCCGAGTTTATTAGAAAGTCCATGGTCAGAAAAAAAAATCAATCCAGAAAT